CCCCCCCCCCCCCCCCCCCCCCCCGTGGTGGAAGGATTACAGTCTGCGACCATTTGTCACTAATGCTGTACAGTGACGTAGTCGTATTAATAGATATAATATTAGGCACTTCAGCACTTTAATGGCTTTCTAATTTTATTATCCAATCAGGTGCGTTACTTTAAATAAAACTTATATTATGTAAACAAGGTCAATAGACAAGGTCAAGCAAAACAATACAACGAAATCGAAATATAAACTCGCAAAAAAATATGCCAGTTTTGTAAATTCTACCAAATTTATTCATCCCAAAAGATTAAATGCTCTTTTGTGTGGTAATGTCTTTCCTAATAGCACCCAGAAACTTTGTGTAATCGGTAAAACCGGTATACTCGTCTCGAAATTAGCTAAGCAAATTTATGCAAGTATAATTTTGAAACGAACCAATGAAAAACTGCCGATCATATTTCGTCGGTAGCTGTACGGCATTAGCGTCGAATGACAGCAGACTGTAATCCCGCGCGGGAGCGGGATGCAGTCTGCGAGCAGACTAAACATTTATATGTTAGGTATGTTATTATATGTAATATAAGCTTCAATTTAAGGTAAAATTCAACCACAAACGCTTCGCAAAACGTTTTAAAGTGTTCTTTATAAAACTAAACTGCCTTTATAAATTAAATGGCTTTTATCGATAAACTTTGAGTTTGCACTAAAATATTTCAAGTTCTAGCATGCAAATAACTTTGCTTTCTTTTTTATTCAAAAAATTCAATATAATAAAAAAGGGAATCAATATTAAAGATACACTGAAATTATATGCTGTCTTGTTTAATAGTTGTTTCATATACGCAAAGGCCGTCGGGTTTTAAAGCAATTATAAAATCAATATTTAAAATAAACTTACCTTCGTTAACGGCGACTCCTTCTTTTAGCCGATTCTTTCGCCCTTTCTTTCTTTCTTTCTTTCTGAGAAGCTTTTGAAATTTACAAAATCTTGCAAAAATGAACTATATTTGCAAGAAATTTATCAATCATCAAATTGATCAAATCAAGAAATGTTTGCTATTTCGCTGTCGTCTTGCAGTCGTTATAATGCAAACTTTAAATTGGACCAATCAGTGTCCGCTATTCATGACAGTCCGCCATATTTTTGAGATCAGTGAGGATGACCACCCACCGAAACATCGTTGGTGAGCCACGCCCGCGCTCATTGATGAACTTTAGACTTCGCTAATGCTTTCGTTTCCCCGGGTGTAAATAGCCGGGGGGGGATTAGTACCCTCGCACGGCGCTTCGCGCCGTCGGCTCGGGGATGACTACACTCAATGGAAAGAGCGAAAAATTGCATCAGATCAATAAAGCGTAAACAACTATTAAACAGAAGCGGGTGTTTGTATGGCGTTGTAATACGAAGAAAATAACTTGCGAGACTAAAGAAATCAGTTGAGTCAGAGCTCTTTATTTAAACAAGAAAGACGAGGAGATGGCCAACGTGTTATCGCCAATCGCTTGCCTCGCCAACAAGCTTTATGCAATAGAAGAAAAAAGCAAGGAGGTTACCAACGCGTACTGTATGGACCTTGTTTGCTGTCTAGCACAACGGTGCAAAATTTTGTTCAGTGCAACGATAACTCTACCAGATCTTACGAGAATCAATCTATACACAGAGACATTGAATATATGCGAAAAGCTGAAAATGACACAACGTGACACTGGGAATATAAAGTCAAAGGTCAATGAGACTTGTTGTTGTGAAGCATGTCAGATTTAGGTTAAAATGCGGAAGCGGATGGAGCGGATCAACGGAACGGATATGGGGATAAAATACGGAACGGATGGGAATAAAATGCGTCCGTTTAATGATGCAACGTGGTAGTGCTTATTATTCATAACATATATTGCACAGCTATTTCAATTAAAGTTGTCACCGAGACAATAGTCAAATGTCCAATATGGGCGTTAAAAGGATGATGGGAATAATGATAGTTTTAAATAAGTTTAGCATATCAGTAGCTTCGTGGGGATGCTTTTGCAAATGCAAATGAAGTTTTAAGCCTGGTTCACACGATGAAATAAGCACAAGCACAAGCACAAGCAGCGGAACCTTTGATGTGCATAAACGTAAACATAAGAAGAACGCAACATTTGTTCTTCTTATGTTTACGTTTATGCACATCAAAGGTTCCGCTGCTTGTGCTTATGCTTATTTCATCGTGTGAAGCAGGCTTTAGAATATGCAAAATTTGGTTGTTGCTCAAACAATTTATATTTCGAGTTGTCGCGTGTAGCATCACAATAAATAAATTGTATCAGTTCCACGAGGCACAAGGTTTCTGATGTGTTAAGCTTCTTTCAAACGTCGCGCTACTCGTGTACCGAACGCATTAAAAACAATAGATAATGAGATGAAATGCCTTTGGTAACGGTTTATTTCGTAGTGTAAGTGTCGGCGACCCTATATAGTTCTTGCAGTGTCTTTTTCAATTTGAAACTTCACACTATCCTTGGATCCCTAGTTGTATATGATGTACGATTCTCCCACCCTAGGGTATAAATGATGAATATAGTTCCTAAGTGCCGGTGGTATTGTTGGCCCCCTGTTCATTGCCTTCGAAGCTGGCCATGGAAATTGGTCATGCTTAGCCTGCGAACAGGCTCTCAAGCTGAATTGAGAGCCTGCATCGATGACTAATGAATTTGAATATCTGCGTCTCAAATCGTGACGCGAAATTCTCATTGGTCAGATGCTATAATTTATATGTTTCAGCTGAGCTCTATATATGTCAACTGCCGAAGCCGGCTATGCATAAAAAACACATTAACCGATCAAATTGGTCTTGGCCATCTTATCTCAAAGCACGAAATGTTCTGTTTTGAGAAAACAGTATTTAAAACATTTGAACTTTTGCTTGAATATCTTATATTTCAAAAAACAGTATAAACTGTACGGTCTAAATTTAGTTCGCACGGTCTAAATTTAGTTTGCACGAAAGTTGTAAACAACACCATATAAGGATAGACATTCCATATTTGGAAAAACGAACGTTACGGGGCAGATATTCAAATTCATTAGTCATCGATGCAGGCTCTCAATTCAGCTTGAGAGCCTGTTCGCAGGCTAGGTCATGCTATGCTAATAAGCGTGCATCTAAATAGGTTAAAAACAAGACATTTCTAAAGGTTTGAATAATGTAAATTTCTATGGCTAGCTCGCCACTGCCCATGTCTGATACATGTTTATTTCGCTAGGTCTACTCGAGATTCAGATCCATCGGAGCAAGAACCAAGACGAGCTGCTTGTAATAATTCACGAAGGGGGATCAGAAGGGCGCCTGCGAGGAAGACGAACGAAAGAAGACATGACAGCGGTCACAACATTAAAAGTCCCTTGAAAAAAGTAAGAGTTTGCTTTAACTATCCTTCCGAATGACCAATCACACGCAAAAACTGTAGTAAGCAAGCCACTGTACCATCAAAGCAAAATTAGTTTTAAGCTCTGAATCGTCTTCCTTTTATGATCCAGTCATGAAACGGTTGCCTTACTGCAGTTTCACGTTATACGCGTCCACGTCGTACAAAAATGTGAGTATTATTGTTGTTTTTGACATTTAGGCGCGGTCATTAATTCAATATCACAAACTTCAACAACTGAACCAAGCCTGGCTGTTTTTGCAATTAATTAGTCATTAAAATATATATTTATTCCATTCGTCAAATAAATACTAGAATATTGCCTTAACATACACCGAAGGACGTACAAGAACAAACAGCCTCATTAAGAAACGAAACAATTTTTAAAATCATTGTTCCCTATCAGCCATTTCCCAAAGTCTTGGCAGCACACATTTAAATGAAATGTTTGATGTAAAAAGGAGATATTTCATTTTTGGTCGTCTAAAAAGTTGATATTTTATAGCAGATACTTCTACTCTTTCACATATTTGACGCCTGTCACCATATATTTTGTCCCTCCAAACGATCCCAGAATGCACTAAAGATTTATTACTCTCAGCTATAAATAGCCGCAACGTCAATCTGTTTTCATTTCTGACATTGAAATCAATGCTTCCACATTTAAATGTTCAATTTCCATATATGGCAGCAAAATAAAATTCCGTAAATTACCTATGCTATCTCTAAATATCGTACGTTATCCAACATATTTCAATTTGAGGCCTGGGACGAGTTTTAAATTTGGGATACCGACAATCTCGTACCCAAAGCCATTAGGGACGAGTTTGATAAAACATGATAAAAACATGTGGAGCACAGGTGTACACAGATCAGCAGGGCACTAGCTAGGTCCATACTATGTGTAATATTCATTGAAAACGGATTAATTGGATTTTTAACGCATATTTTAGCACAATTTACAATATTTTCTGGATACTGAAATTTTCATAGAATTTTCATCATTTTTTTCAGTTTCACAAAAAATTTCCTTCCAGATTTTTATTAAATTAACGAATTTCTCGAAATGTTGGGAAACCGAGGTGGCGGATTGCTTTGGTTGGTTGCTGGGCTACACTAATTCTGGGGGTTAAGATGGATGCTAAGGTTTTCCTCATCTCGTCTTTCCCTTTCTTCTGCAAAACCTCTAAAGACCTGAACATTTCTGTAACCTAGAATACTATTTCCTATGTTAGTACTAATGTGCGTATTTATATCCCAGGCACCACATCCATTAGGATGCCTCAGTCCCAACAAAGAATTCTCGACAGATGCTGGTGAACCTAGCCAACAATACTTGCAAGGCCATGGTGATAAGCTCCATGATAATGACAGCGAGCAAGGGGAATATTCAAGGTTGACAACTCAAACATCGTCCGAAACATCCTCTCTGACATCTTTACATAGTTCTCTTGACGAGCATCATAAGGAGAACAATACCCGGGATCAGATGTCTGAGGTTGCAAGCAGCCACGAGCTATCTGTTAAAAGTGAAAACCTGATCGAGGTGAAGGATGTTTCAGGAGTCAAACGAAAGCTCAGCGAAAGTGATATGTCAGATGCGGTATGTTATTTAGTACTGTATTTGCTCTATTTAGTCCCCAGCCTTTTAGCCCCCACCCATTCTAATTGGCCCACTGTTTAGGTCTGAGCTCCCATCCTCTATTAATTACGTAATTTTCAATGTGATAGACGAAATCGCAGTTTCGACTGCGCATTCTGGGCTGGAAACAAATTGCAGTTGAACTATAACATGTAGCTGGGACAGGAAGAATTAGAATATGCATATCAAAGTATTGGAATGTTCAGTCATTATTTGAATATGCAAAATGTTGCTCAACGACCAATTAGTTTCGGCACGGTTGATTAAATTAGAAAATATATTCCCTTTGGCGTACCTTTCTTTATTTTGTTTTACACAGGCGGCAAAATATGCTAGTGTAAAAATGATTTAATTTGATATTTACAATTTTTGATATATTACAATTAAACAAGTTCAATAATTTGATATGCATACAGTACTGCTCAGAAATAACCTAATGTTGGTATTTTTTCTATGTAGACATCTACGTCCGGTCGTGTCAAAAAGCGAAAAAGTGCGCGTCTCACTGGATGGTTCACATGTGGCAGTAATTTCGAAAAGATTTCCTGACATTAAAACTGCGTTGTTTCGTTTACTGGAAAGCGTACGGTAGGTACTGTTATAAAGCCTGTTTTCCCCATCAATCGTATCGTAAGGTATCGCAGTGTTTTCTTTTGTGTTGAACAGGTGCGGATCCACAGGTGGGGGGGGGGGGCAACAGATACGCGAGAAAGTATTCATGCATCAATACTACGGGTCACCATTATAACGCAGGGTGTTAGCCAGGATTTAAAAAGTGGCCGTCCAAAATAATTTTGTGGGCGTGGCCACAAATTTTCGTGGTCGTGGTCACATGTTTTTGGGCGTGGCCGCAATTTTTTGTTGTAGTGGAATTGTGGTGTTCTATTCGTTAAACCTTTTTACTTTTAGATGCACATTTCCGTTATTAAATTAGTAAAAGCACACGTATGGTATGAACCGTATGATCACTACGATGTACAGTATATATAATGAAAAACACAATACAGCAGTGTAGTGTTTAATTTTTTTATCAATCGCCGATATGTTTCCCTTTTTTTATGCGTTTGGCTCATTTTATAGCCATCTTTACCGTAACTGTAAGGCTAAAGCACGTGACGCTCGAGCGATTGCTGTTTTTTTAAAACAGCGCTTTCAAATTATTCTCCTTGATACTTTATGCGAGAATCATCAACATGGTTAATTACAAAAACAAGGCGCGTTTGTCGATACTTCAATTCAGCCATAAGTAAAGTAAACAGCAGATGACAACAATTCGAAGTATTCAAGAAATATTACAAAGCTTGTAAATTGCTATTTAAAGAAAATATTCCCTTAGGTCGTCCATGGCCGTCCATTAAAATTTAGCCGTCCGAATTCAGAAGTGGCCGTCCGTAGGACGGTCGGACGGCCGCCTGGCTAACACCCTGTTATAACGTACAGTAGCGCTTTTCTTACCGGCTTTTTGCCCAAAATACAAGTACTCTGAAGACAAATTTTAGGAATAAATGTAGTGCTCAGAATGCAGGCAATGGCATTTCAGGGCTTCAAATTTCAATAATATTCTGGAGACAATGCCCCGCTACCCCTGTTGTAATGCACCCCATCTGGAAAACCTCTACCAAATCAGGCTAGATCCGCTCCTGGTGTTGATGTCATTAATGTTGTTGTAGTGCTTAGTATGCAACAAAGGGATACGTTTCGTGACGGTACGGTTTAAATGTAAAGCCTGGTTTACACCATTCAAGTTTCTGTGATAACAATGGGAAGTTTGCATGGGTAAATTCCAAGTCTTGAAGGATTTGTAAGTAATGTTAGATAGAACTGACCCAGTGTTTACCATTAAAGGCTGCAGCATTCCAGTTACGCGTTTTTCATACGTGCGTACACGCACGTAAAAGTTGAATTCGCTTTACATCCTACTTATGAAATAACTAAATTTATAAAAGGACAGCATTCAGTTTTGTGTATGATTTAGGCTATGTTTACATTGCATCGGATCGGTTTTTGCTTCGTTCACGAAACGTTACGGCCCAAGTGTAAACAGCTTCCGCCCTCGCGCAACAAAATACAAAAATATTATAAGTGAGCAAGCTATACCCGCAAATAAGATTAGAATAGCAAGTCTTTGTTTCCCTGATGCCATCTTGAGTTACGCATTGAACAGAAAATTGCTCCGATTGGTGTTTACATTGCAATGAGAGCGACGGAGCGTTGCAACTGAACCGATCCGATACACAGCGCACCACTTCGAAGAGCGAACCGCCGCACCACCGGTCCGTTGCAGAAATTGAGACGATAACAACATTTCATATGTAAACAGAAGCCCTATCCGGTATGGTTTTTGCGTCGGACGCAAAGTGATCCGATACAGTGTATTTGTTAAGGTTATTTGCACTTATATATGAAATTTTAAGCGAATTCAACTTTTACGTGCGTGTACGCACGTATGAAAAACGCGTAACTGGAATGCAGCCTTAAGTCAGTTTGCTCAAACATTTCTTACAAATCCTTTTCCCACGAAAAATTCCTACTGTGATCACAGACACTTTGGTAGTGTAAATCAGGCTGGAAGGACCTTTTCTACTTCAACCGTATCGTAAATTATCGTAGCATTTTCTTTTCTGTGAAAGTCATAGGGATATATTTGACCTTTTTGCTGCCATCTTTAAGCACTAACTGTAACCAATGACGACATAACACACAAAATATAATATGCCCGATAACTTGGGAACGAGATAAACTGCATGGGAATAAATTGTTAAGGCATTCTTGATAATTTTCATGTCAATTTCAAGTGATACCTAAAAACTGGGGAAAAATTTCGCATCCCTTGCACCATAGAATAAAGATCCATATAGAAGGGCCACTTACGTCGGAAGCTTTGAAGTTTCTGTCCTCGCGCATGTCGCATTACGCATGTTGGCCGCCATTTTCCTAGCCAGTCAATGACATTTTCTGGCCAATAAACACGCTGTACTGGCTGGCTGCTCCGCCTTCTGGCCAGTAAACTGCATATTTTTGCATGAAAAAACGAGGACACGTTGCACCGCTGAGTGGCCCTTCTGTTACTGATCTTTATTCTGTGCCTTGCACTTTAACTAAAACTTTATTTCATTTTTTCAGGTTTGAGCCCCTGCTTCTTTCCGCAGTATGTGCAGCCATTCGACGCATCTTAAATAATAACCTGAAATTAACAACCTGCTAATTTAGGATGTAAAATATATTTTATTCTATATGAACTCAACAGTGATTCTTATTTTAATCAATAAATGTGTCCTATTTCTATCGAAAATTTAATTTGTGTATAGTAATATTATTTGGAATTATTTTGGCTTCAACCGTTTTCGTAGTTCCAGTAAAATAAAATATTAAGTCCCGTGCTGTCCCTTCTTGTGTTTCGCTGCGTAATGATTATTTCCCACAGGGAATACTCGAACTAAGGAAAGTTTAGCCTGCGAACAGGCTCTCAAGCTGAATTGAGAGCCTGCATCGATGACTAATGAATTTGAATATCTGCGTCTCAAATCGTGACGCGAAATTCTCATTGGTCAGATGCTATAATTTATATGTTTCCGCTGAGCTCTATATATGTCAACTGCTGAAGCACTATGCATAAAAACACATTAACTGATCAAATTGGTCTTGGCCATCTTATCTCAAAGCACGAAATGTTCTGTTTTGAGAAAACAGTATTTAAAACATTTGAACTTTTGCTTGAATATCTTATATTTCGAAAAACAGTATAAACTGTACAGTCTAAATTTAGTTTGCACGGTCTAAATTTAGTTTGCACGAAAGGAGTGTATCTAAAAGTCGAGGGTCGAGAGTCGAGAGTAAAGGTCGAGAGTCGAGAGTAAAAGTCGAGAGTCGAGAGGAAAAGTCGAGAGTCGAGAGTAAAAGTCGAGAGTCGAGAGTAAAAAGTCGAGAGTCGAGAGTAAAAAGTCGAGAGTCGACAGCAAAAAGTCGAGAGTCGACAGCAAAAAGTCGAGAGTCAACAAAAATGTCATCAAAAACAACAAAGTCAAAATATTTTTAACACAATATATAGCCATTCCGTAACAACGGCTGAACTACATTACTACAAACTTTCGCATAAATATAGCCACAATAACAGTCAATAATAAAAACGTGAACAAAAAAGACTGGATACGAAACTAATCAGTATCATGTGTGATGATTTCATCTTGCTAAATGTTTTAACATGTCATTTCATCAAATTTTGCTGCCTTTCAATGTAGACACAGGCGGAATTTTGACAGCCAGTTCCGGGCTTGTAACCTCGCTCACGGTATAAACTACCGTCGCTTGCAACTATTAAGGATGACTAGTCGCAGATAAAATATTGCCTATTCTCATGAACAAAGTTCAATGTTTTTACTGAGAAACTTCAATGTTTGTGATAATCATTTGATGGTTTCAATGGATGATTCCAGCTATAGACTAATTTTGATCTAGGCAAGAAGAACAAAATCCATATTTGGGCCGAAAGTGGTGCATTTTCCCGCGCGTAATAGAAATTAGTACAAAATTTCGAAGGGCTATATTTTCCGCATTTTACAACATTTTTTGCGGCCAAACTTTGTAATTTTACTAATTTTAACATGCTCTTTCTAGCTATGGTGATGGATTTTATCCTTGCCTATATCAAAATGTGTCTATAGCTGGAACTATCCGGCATTCTCGGCATAAAAACATTGAACTTTGCCAAGAGAATAGACAATGTCTTATCTGCGACTGTTCATCATTAGTTGCAAGCGACGGTTGTTACAAGCAAGGTTACAAGCGGCCCGGAGCTGGCCGGCTGTCGAAATTCCGCTTATGTGTCTACATTGAAAGGCAGCAAATGAGTTTGATGAAATGACATGTTAAAAAATTTAGAAAGACTTGAAAGCATCAGATGTGATATTTAGATACATTATTAATTTCGTATCCAGTCTTTTTTGTTCACGTTTTTATTATTGACTGTTATTGTAGCTATATTTATGCGAAGTTCAGCCGTTGTTACAGAACGGCTCAGATATTTTAGTAAAAATATTTTGACTTTGTTGTTTCTGATGACATTTTTGTTGACTCTCGACTTTTGCTGTCGACTCTCGACTTTTTACTCTCGACTCTCGACTTTTACTCTCAACTCTCGACATTTACTCTCGACTCTCGACTTTTACTCTCGACTCTCGACCTTTACTCTCGACTTTCGACCCTCGACTTTTAGATACACTCTAACGGGGCAGATATTCAAATTCATTAGTCATCAATGCAGGCTCTCAATTAAGCAATTTCACCCCAAATGTTTATGATTGCATTGTAAAGATCACTTAAAATGACTTAATTTCTTTTACAGAATTTTGGTAACTTGCTTCCTTTGCAAGATATTCAACTTTGTTTCATATGCAAATATCACCGGTGTGAGATAAACGTATGAGAGAAACGTATAAGAAGCGTATGAAAAATTAATGAAATCATTTTCGTACGTACAAAAATTGTTTGAAATGCCAACGTATCAAGTACCGTACATCTGGCGTACCTCTTGCATATTCAGCGTGCGCCTAGAGTGTGCTTGCATAAAAACCATACGTCCGAGTACGCGCAAAATGTTTAAGCATGCCTAAAAAAAAGTTTCTGCCTTGCCGTATGCCACCGTATGGGACCGTGCTTCAAACGTACACAACCTATGCCTAACGTACCCCTAGCGTATGTCAGCGTATGAGTGCAGATATTTGATACGCTGGTATCATCCTTATCCCCAGGGAAACACGGAACCGGAAGTGCAAGGAAACTTACAGTAGTTTCTAAACATAGATATAGGAGATCTAGATTGCTAACGTATACCTAGCGCAGGCGGGGCCTACATGATAAATCCAAGATGGCGGTACAACAGGGCAAAAAGACTATAGATTCTATTACGAAAATCAGGATTTTTGCATTTTTTGCCGTCGCATTGTTTTGAAACTTATTCGGTCAAATTTTATGGTAAAGAGAAACTTACCGCGAAGATTTTGAATTGAATTGGATGAAAAATCGCAAAATTATCCAGCGATAAAGCTCGTGTGAAATGGTCAGTTGGAGCGTTTTATTGCCAGAAATACTGTGCTATGTTAACATCTAGCCTTGTGAATGGTGTTTTATACTTGCATCTCTTTAGCATTGTACTCGGTTCTCATAATTATGAAAAATGAACTGTTATGTACCCCCCACTCCCCCGCCTCCTTGCTTGTTAGAGAAGTAAACTGATGAGAGCACTGGATGAGGGTCTATCATGTATGGTCTGTTATAATTTGCTTTTTATGCAAATAGTGAGCAAAAATTAAAGCAAAACTGTACAAGTTACATATATAGTACTATATCAGTACTATACACGAACTCTTTTATCGCTGGATAATTTTGCGAGTTTTCATCCAATTCAATCATATATATGCTCAAAATCTTCGCGGTAAGTTTCTCTTTACCATAAAATTTGACCGAATGAGTTTCAAAACAATGCGACGGCAAAAATTGCAAAAATCCTGATTTTCGTAATACAATTTATAGTCTTTTTGCCCTGTTCTACCGCCATCTTGGATTTATCATGTAGGCCCCACCTGTGCTAGAAGAATTGAGGCCTTCGCTTTAAACGTCGAGTTTCTGCTTATTTTTTAAGGTAGTAATATAACCACTCAGCACAGCATTTTCTAGCCTAGAGGTGAAATTCGAAAACCTATCCATTATTGCACATGTTTATGGTTTAGCACTTTGTTCAGTTTGTTACAACTTGCCAAGCAAATGAATGCAACATATATGTGTTATATGCGTTAGCAATCTAGATCTCCTATATCTATTTTTCTAAAGCCCATGTTTTTCAATTGGGACGCTTTAGCACCAGTAACAATTTTCAAACTGAAGTATTGCGAAGAAATGAAGTATTTGTGTTGACATATGTTGATAGAATCATTTTGCCTAGCAAATATTGCTCAACTTCTGCGAATTCGAAATAGCAGTTCTTTGAGAAACCAATCAGATCTCTCCATTTAGTCGTCTTACGCAGAGCCTAATCTAATCCGAGTAAGAATAGCACTGGGGACGAGAATGAGGCTGGTACACGCTAGTAGGATACGCAATAGTGTGACAGGGCCTTTAAGCTTGGATCGAACGAGTACGAGTCACGCGAACTTGGTTATATCTGTTCTTAATGCCTTACCAACATTATCCTGCATTTTATTTAAGTTAAAACACAGTTGGAACATTGATCAAACTATTATTCTGCTTATTATTAGCATGACATTAATGATTTTCCCAAAACAAACAAAATGGCGGAAAAGGTATTTTAAACACAAGCGTGAAATGAAATTGCCGTGAAGGAACTAGATGAAAATACGAACAAAAGTACCAAATTTTGCTTGAACAAAAGAACTAAATGAAAATACACACTAAAGCACCAAATTTTGGTTTAAAGTGTGGCAGAACTTGGCTTTGGCGAGAGAATATGATGTTGACATTGAGAAGTACGTATCCAATTTTGTCATGCTAATAATAAACGGCGGATCGTCCAATTTTGGCAAAATTTCCAAACATCACTCGTACTATTAATCCCTAATTGTACTCGCCATCGCATGATTACCTATACTTATATAGAGCTTAAAATATTCCCCGTAGCAATTTGTATGTGCCAAATTCCATCAACTCTAGTCTTCGTTTGACCGGGGATTTAGTTTGCCCAAAGGGTAAAAATGCAAAGGAATTTCATTTTCAAGAAACCATCAATTAATGTATGCATGGAGAAGATGCGAGAAAGAGTCACTAATCACTCAATGAAGGTTATGTAGTTCAGCAATA